AGGCTCAGTGGCACAAGTAGCCACAGCACTGGGAAAGCTGAGGCAAGAGGATCACTTAAGCTCAAGAGGTTGAAATCAGTCTGTGTAACATAGTGAAACCCTTCCATCTGAAAAACGAACAAACCAAACAAACAAAACAACCCTAATTAAAAAAAAAAAAACCAAAAAAACAACTTTAGTTAGGTTGGGAAGATAACTTAGTGGTAAAGTTGCTTGCCTAGCATGCACAGGCCTTGGATTTGATCCCTTCCCCAGCATAGCACAGAAAAACAACAACAAAAACAAAAAAATCAACCAAGCAAAAAAATTAAAAATCAACTTCAGGATTTTTTTCTTACTGCTTGAGGCAGTAAGAACACCTGTGTAGCAAGCATGTAACCCTGAGTTCAAACCCCAGTACTACCATAAAAAACCCCCAAAACCAAAAAAGACCCAAAAAACCAACTTCAGTTAAAACAGTACTTGGAAGAAAAGTGTAAAGCTTTCCATTCCCTAGTAATAAATATGAAGCTAAGCATACATCTCAAGAACTTGGAAAAGGAACAATAAAATAACTCAAAGAAGGGATGAAAGAAAAAATAAAAATAATTTGAGGTCAAAGTTAAAAATAAACAGCTAATGAATTGTATCAGTAATTTCCAACTTTAGGGATTTTATTTTTTTTGGAGGGTGGAGAGAAAGACATAAAATTTCTGCTGAAATTGATAAAAAAAGAAAGAGAACAATTACAAAAATTTAATACCAGTAATGACAAAGGAATTACACTGAAGATGCTGTAAATAATAAAAGTATAGAAAGAAGATATTACGGAAAGTATCTAACCAATTAAACTTGAAAAGTTAGATTAACTAGAGTCTCAGAAGTGTGGTAAACAGAACAGTAGCATGAACCTTACCTGGTCTTTTGTTAGAAACAGACTTCAGTCTTGGACCTTTAGTCTGCTGGTCAGAAGCTGGAATGGAGTTTGGGAATCTGTGTCCTAACAAATTCCCCAGTGATCCTGATGCCCTAAAGTTTGAGCATACAGAACCATACTAAAAAACACTGTACTCAATTTTCTCTTGTGTGAATGGATAGTTGGTCTCAATGTTTATTGACAGAGTCGTTATTATTGAAGAGAAAATAGTGCATCTTTAAAAGAAGTTTGAATAGCATAAATGGAACTTGCATTTTCTCAAAATATAATTAATATATCTTTATTGACTTCATAAAACTGATATTCTACATGAAAAAGGAAACTGCCTTAAATGCTTCAAAATTATTTCACACAAATTTTAGGGAGACACTTTTTTCACAATTTATCAATTATGGAATCTCTTTATATATTACTTTGTTTTGTCTGACATTACAATGAAATATTTTGCAGCTCATGTAGTCTCATTATTATTACAAGATTATTATTTTGTACTAGGATTTTAAAATTTGACATAATTTTAAAAATTCCAAAGTGCATTTCAAAAATACCCTCATGAGTTTAACATAACACTCAGAATTAAGCCACACTTCTGAATCATAAAACTTTATCCTACTCCATTCATTTCACACAGCTTTATTTACCTACTTGCTATGTACAAATTTATTATATAAAATGACAGATTTCTAGCCACCCCCAAAAAGCTCAGTAAACACACACAGTAGTCAGCTTCAATTGTAAACAATCACAAAACAAACTTTAAAGCATTTGTACCAATGCAAAGCTCTGTGGGAAACTGTTTTCTCAAAGTATTGTGGATGATTATTATGAACAAAATAAATGAGGTAAGGTAATGTTTCAATAATGATCTGGAACTGTGAGTCAAATGAGTAAGATTAAAGGCACAAAGAAACTCTTCCTAATAAACAAGCAGATAACTGCTGGAAAGAAAAATATGTTCCTTGTTTGAAATTAACTGCCACACATTCTCAACCTACACAAAGCTGTCACAAAGGACATCTAAATCTGTCCTTGTTTGTAACATGTGTTGTGACAAGATTTGACAGTTTATCAAAAAACTATAATTGCCACCTAAACATCTAGCATTTTGTCAACTGCAAGTATGTTTAGTGAAAGCATTTATTTCACTTAAAATATAAATGTTTTTCTCTACTTTCTGAAAGAACTGACTAAATTTCTTTTTCTTCTTAGCGCATCAAGCTGCATCAGGGCTCTCTGAATTATTTACGTTTGAATTGTGAAGGGTAAAAGAATAATCAGTAAAGCAAGAAACTATTACCAAAATAACATTTATATTCAGTGTATTGACTTAAAAGACCTTCAACACACAATAATTCTCACAGATCTGTAGAGATGACATTTAAATATGCTTACCTTGGGAAGGAGAAAGATAAGACTTTTTCCCTCTATCACAATATTTCATTTCCAGAGTAATTTATTAAGAAGCAGTGTCTTAAGTAAAAGGACTGTGTTGTTCAATAGGCATTATTCCTACTTGTAACTTGCCAGAAACAGTAAATGAGAACAGATATTCTCTCAACTTATAGTGACTAGAGTAAACAGAAAATAAATCCCCTTGTAATAGATTCAGGTAGTAGAAATGTCAGAATAACAATGATATTTATGACACTATTAATGGTCCATTTATATCTGGAAATTGTGTAAGTTTTTTTTAAGACAAAGAATTTCAGTCTTGTTTTTTCTTCATTATAGTTACTTGATAAAAGAGAAAAATATGTAAATATTTCTGCACCACTGTTTAATTTTTCCTTCATTCTCATAAACCTCAAGAAAGTAACATAGCAAAAAAAAGTTATAGTTGGAAATTCAGGGATCCCATATTCTAATACATATCTGCCTGTAATTAGCCAATAGCTCACAGGCAAGTTGTTATATTTTGCTGGACCTCAGTTCTCTGACTGTGAATTGGGATATTAAAATGACTGAGTGGTCTCTAAGGCCATTTCCATCTTTAACATATTTTATGATTTTAGACAAATCCCTGGAACTATGAGGTATAGCAACAGCCAGAGCTTGTAGCAAAAAATAGATATAAGACAAAAATGTCTCCTACTTAACACCTCAAGAAATATGTAACTAACTATTGGTTTCAAATGTTTACATTAGCATTCAGTCCTATTTAGGTAATATTAAATCTATTTGAAAGTCTGCTTTGTTTTTCATTAAAAACTGAGAATGCTAAGAGAAAAATCAATTTAATTAAAGCTACAAGTACTTTTTAGTGCTTCTAAATTAAGTTGCAGGATTTTATTTAGAAATAAGTATATGTAACTTGATTTAGGATGCATTATATGGGATAGATGGTTCTACTGATTTTTTGGTAGGAAAGAATATGAATGAAAAGTTGTGGACAAAAAGTAGTTGGCATCAACTAAAGAGAAAAAGTATGTTGATGTCAAGAGAGATGTGATTGGATGACAGCATGTCATTTTGGTGTAGCATTTTTAACAGAAGCATTTTTGTCTCTCTATATGATTTTAGAACAATAGCTCATGAAATATATAAAAGTAATATTTTATAGCTAAATATACTCAGGTATTCTGAATCTTACCTAACCCATTCCTTATCCCATTCCTAAGCTTATCCTATCCATGAACCCAACCCATTGAGGAAATTCAAAAGTTGAATCAGAAAGTATCTTCAACAATTACTTGGTAATTTCAATATATATATGATAATAATTTGATTTTTTGCTGAATGAAATTGACCTAATATCCAAATGTCAGACACAATTAGCAGGATACAAATGTGTGAACTACATTTCATTTCATTTTTTTACAAAATAGACATATCATTGTTAAATTTCTTGGTGTTTATAGTCTTTTCTACTTACAATATTCCATCTCCCAATACACTGTGCAAGCTGTATACTTACAATTTTCTAGTAAATAATTACGAAATATATTTGCCTTTTGTATTATAAAAGTAATACAAAACCCATACCACAATAATAGTTGGCAGTAACATATATTAGTCCTTCCTTCTCAACTCACACAACCTACTCACCTCTCCAAAGGTAATCATGATAAAAGGGACCTCTACACTTATTTGATACTTCAATGTTACATAATTTTAAATACATAAATAATACTGTACTTATTTTTGTGACTTGCTTTTTATCTTTAAAAAATACATTGGAGACATTTCCATATAATTAACATAAATTAGTCTTTTCAATGTCTGTACTACATGTACAATGAATTACTTGATAATTTGATGAAAATTGTAGATTTCCAGATTTTTCTTTTATAAACAAGTCCAGGATACTTACTATTTGTCACTCACCACCTTATACCCTAAGAATAGGGCAACACCTGACACACAGGACTTGCTCACAGAATATTCACTAAAAGAATATCACAGCAAACACTATTATCATATTCTGGGGGTATCTGTGAATATTTTTCTGGAATGGATTTCCATGGTGTGCCAAAGTTTATATGCAAAATGACAAAATTTATATGTTTACACATTTTATTGGAAGACATTATCTGTTTTATAATTTTGGCCTACTTGATATGTGAAAATAACATTTTCTTGATTGCTAGTATTTCTCACATTTATTGGCCAGCCACTTTTATTTTTACTATAAAGCAACTATTTATATTATTTTCCAACTTTTCTTTTTTTTTTTAACTCTATTGGAAGGACCTTTTCTAAAATAACACTTTGCTCGGACTTTCTCCACCCGAAAGTTTCTCTTTAAACTTGTGCCTTTGGCTTGTAGACGCTTTCTGTTTTTATATATTCAAATTCGTCTAAGCAGCCCAGGGAAACTAATGAAAGCATTAATAATAATAAAAATTATTCTATAGACTAGAAAGACTTGATCCTTTCATTTAAAAGTGCCATGTGCTCACCAATCAAGACTTCTTTCAAATGACCGGAAGTCAAGTTAGCATAGTGCACCGGAAGAGGCCATAAACGGCTATGTAACGGGCTGAGAAACCACCGGAAGTCGATGGAGTCTGCGGTCCCACTTCCGCTCTACTATCAGCGGCAGGACTGCTCACTGAACAAGGAGGGACTGGTCTAGTTAGCCAAGATGCCAAATATTAAAATCTTCAGCGGCAGCTCCCACCAGGACTTATCCCAGAAAATCGCCGACCGCCTGGGTCTGGAGCTGGGCAAGGTGGTGACTAAGAAATTCAGCAACCAGGAGACCTGCGTGGAAATTGGTGAGAGCGTGCGTGGGGAGGACGTGTACATCGTGCAGAGCGGCTGTGGCGAAATCAACGACAGTCTCATGGAGCTGTTGATCATGATCAACGCCTGCAAGATCGCTTCTGCCAGCCGGGTCACAGCAGTCATCCCCTGCTTCCCGTACGCCCGGCAGGATAAGAAAGATAAGAGCCGTGCCCCCATTTCCGCCAAGCTCGTCGCAAACATGCTGTCTATAGCGGGTGCGGATCACATCATCACCATGGACCTCCATGCCTCCCAGATCCAGGGCTTCTTTGACATCCCAGTCGACAATTTGTATGCGGAGCCAGCTGTCCTCAAGTGGATAAGGGAAAATATTTCCGAATGGAGGAACTGCACCATTGTCTCTCCGGATGCTGGCGGGGCCAAGAGAGTCACTTCCATTGCAGACCGTTTGAATGTGGACTTTGCCTTGATTCACAAAGAACGGAAGAAAGCAAATGAAGTGGACCGCATGGTGCTAGTGGGAGATGTGAAGGATCGGGTGGCCATCCTTGTGGATGACATGGCTGACACTTGTGGTACAATCTGCCATGCAGCTGACAAGCTTGTCTCAGCCGGAGCCACCAGAGTTTATGCAATCTTGACACACGGAATCTTCTCTGGCCCAGCCATTGCTCGCATTAATAGTGCATGCTTTGAAGCACTAGTAGTCACCAACACCATACCTCAGGAGGATAAGATGAAGCATTGCTCCAAAATACAGGTGATCGACATCTCTATGATTCTTGCAGAAGCTATCCGGAGAACTCACAATGGGGAATCTGTTTCCTACCTGTTCAGCCATGTTCCTATGTAACAGATTAATTTATAGGTTATTCCATTTAAAAATAAGATTAAAAAAAATAAAACCTGCCCATTATTTTGCCTTGGTATTTAATGAAAAGTTCAGCAGAAGATCCAGCTTGCTCCAGTGTGGCTTTCTACATCCTGTACCAGGTATATTATAGTTTATCTTAAATTGGGTATCAGTGGAATGAGAATTGCTGGGATTTCCTGACTGGGTTGCCTCATTCTGGTCTGGCAGCTTTGATTTTGTGAGCCCTGCGTTTTTCAAGTTGCTGTGAGATTCCAAATTTTTCAGTGTATTGTGTAAAGCTATTTGAGGAAAAACTAGTTGCAAAGTCACCCATACACACACCCCAGGTTCTCCAAGCTCTTTGCTAAATAACAGCAAGAGCCCAAGGCAATCTTAAAACTAGTTCTGGTTGAGAAATTCACTGAAAGGCAGAAGCAAGCAACCATTAGGATCATTCAGAGGAGAAAGCAAAGTACAGCAAATGCTTCCTGAGAAGACTAAGCTATCACCATCTTTTTGTAGACTTAGACTCCTACTTATATCTGTTCCTTTCAATTTAGCTTCACCTCCAACCATCTTGACTTCTTACTGGCCAAATATTCAACTGAGCCCAAATATTTACTATACCATCATTTTCTGGAAAGCAAACTCACTTCTTGCTATATAATATCTAATATTCACATTTGGTATTTTTGCTGCAACTGAATCTTTACCTAGTGCCACCACCATAGTAGATTTTAGGTGATGTTGCAGCACCTTTTATTGCTTTAAACATCTAATTTTCATCTTCCTCGTATTTGGCTGGCCTCTCAAATGACTTGAGATTTGTACTTTAAAATGATTCTACTGGCTCATATGGAAAAACAAAATGCCTGCATATGTGTAGGAGGAGAGTACCATAGACGTGAAATTTTTCATCTCTAAGAAAACAGAGAAAAGCACTGAGAGTTTCTGAAAGGGTAAAACAAAAGCAAAAGAGCTTTAAACAAACACTATTCAGATTGCTGTCAAACTTCTCATTTGAATTACTGGGCAATAAACAAAATGGAACAATTTGCAGTTCTAAAAGGATATTATTTTAAACCTGTTTTTTATGTTCAAACTATCATTCAAATTTGAAGGCAACATTAAGGCAAATATGTTTACTATTAGGTTGGTGTGTGGCCCAAGTGGTAGAGTGCCTGCCCAGCAAGTGCAAGGCTGTGAGTTCAAACTCCAAAACTACAAAAAGAGAAAGAAAATAAATTTTTTAATGTTAAAAAACTAAGAAATGCTACCACCATGAATGCTTTTTGAAGGTATTACTTTTGATATTACTGTAATCCCAGCACTCAGGAGACTGAAACAGGAGGATTGAGTGTTCAAGATCAGCATGGGCTACATAGCGATTTCTAGGCCAGCCTGGGGTACATAATGAAAACCTGTCTCAAAAAAAAAAGTAAAAGATATGTATATGTAAATGAACATCCTAAAGCAATAAAATTTATGACTAGTAATAAACTCCAAAACTGCAGAGCTTATATGATGAAAACATTACTGAAAGATATAGAAAATACCTGAATAAATACATTACAAATTGGGACAGGAAAAACAATATTTCAATCTTGACAGTTTCTTCAAATCATCTGCTTAGTATAAACCCAACCATAATCCTAACATGATTTGTTCTGTATTTTTATTTAATTATTAGCATATTATAGTTGCACAAGGGGTACATTGTAACATTTACAAAAGTGCTTACAATACATCTTAGTTAGATTCACTCCCATCATTCTCCTTTATCCTCCCTTCTTAGAACAGTTTCACAGGTCTCATTGTTCCATTTTTATTACATCATATTCGTCCTCCTTCACCCTTTCCTTATGCCTTCCCCCCCATCCCACTGGTACCAACTCCTGTACAGGACTTGTTTTACCTTCCATAACTAAACATGCTTTTCTTAAAGTTCAACTGGAAAAATAAGTGTGCAAAAAATAGTTAAGTTTTTTAAATATTTGGAATAAAACATATTAAAACACAAAGCTACAGTAGTGGAAATGTGGTATTGATGCGGGAACGCACACATCATGATACAGAGTTTGGATGCCTGAAACAGACCCATGTGTTCTTACAGGAAATTAGTGCACAGGTACTTAATGGAGGAACTGACTGCATTACTGGAAAGAGGCAAATAACTGAATCAACTCTAGGAGAATCATTATCACAGAGTCCCTATGGAGATGCTTTCCTGATATCCTCCCTTAGCAACCATTCCTGCAGTCTACTCAGGTTTTCTGAAGTGGGGAATGAGCCTTTTGCCATGTATTTTTTTTTCTAGCTATACTCATACAATTGTTCATTTATCCAGGTGGGCTTCTTCATGCCAGTTGTCACATCAATATCTAACTTCTTGAGTATCTTAACCTTCTCCTTCCTTGAATAGACATACATATAATATATTCCTTGAATATATATGCATATTCTTTGAATCTATGATGTATACATATATATGCATGTTTCCAAAAGTTCTTTAAAGCCTCTAAAGCCCTTTAGAACCCTATTTCCTTGTTTATATAAAGAGTTCAACATTATTATTTTCAACAATCCTTCAGGACAAACTTGCATCCAGAATACAAAATAAATGAAGAGTGACTATTGCATAGTAAATAACTCATCCTACAAAATATATTCATACCAGAGTAGATAAAGTGGGGGCTTCATACTACAAGCTACACTATACTGCATTATATTGGCTGAGAACTCATAACAGCACACTATATGCGTGTATATAGAGAAGATAATTATGTAAAAATAGCATTAAATATGCATGTATATGATAAAATGTCATAAAATATGATAGATACATAATTGCACTGATGAATCAATGAAGCAAATAACTGCCTATTGCTTGGGAAACTAAAGTTTTGACTCCTCCTGAAATAGTGTGCAAAAATAAATTCCAGAAAGAATGATTATTAAAAAAAAAGAAAGAAAAAAGAAATCCAGAACTATAAAGCACTGGAAGAAAATGTGGAATAACTTTTACACTTTTATAGTAGTAAGGGCATTTTAAACAGGATATAAATCTCAAAATTTATAAAATGTGAGATACAGACATGACTTCTGGGATTCTATAGGCAGGAATAGGGTAACAGAACTATTCAGCTGCAAATATATGCTATCTTTTGAGAGAACAGAGGAATGGTGCAAAGGGTAGAGCTGTTAAGAATGGTACAGAGGCCAGCAGGGGTACTAGGGTGGCCCAGAAGCTGACTGAGCTGATTCGCTGGGCCAGAGCCAATGGAACCATTGCTACAAGCCCAGAGGCTGAGCTGTGGTCCCAGAAGGTAGAGGATTGTCTTAGTCCATTCAGGCTGCTATAACAAACTACCATAGATTAGATGGCTTATAAGCAAAAGAAATTTATTCCTCATGATTCTTGAGGATAAGAACAAGGTGCTGGCAGATTCCATATTTAGTGAGGGCCTACTTCACAATGCATGGACAGCTATCTTCTCACTGTGTCCTCATGCCAGAGGGGTAAGGGAGGTTTCAGGACTCTCTTTTGTAAGGGCTTCTAATCATCTACCAAAGGCCCTACTCCTAATACCTTCACAATGGGTGTGTGTGTGGGGGGGGTGGAAGTAATTAAACATATGAATTTGGGGAAGATATAAACATTTCATCTACATTAATCATCAAGTCACAGAGGATTATTCTCAGGCCATGAAGCTCCATTAAGTTTGCCCTACTAGATTTCAAAGTTGGGGCCAGAAACCTCCTTAATTGGTATTAGTCACCCTTTAATCACTATAACAAAATACCTGAGAAAATCAACTTACAGAGGAAAGATTTATTTTTATTCATGGATTCAGAGGTTTCAGTCCATGGTCTTTGGCCCTATTGCCTTTGGATTGTGACAAAGCAGCATATCATTGTAAGGAGTGTATGATGGAGGAAATTGAAATTGCTCACCTTATAGTGGCCAGGAAGCAAAAAGAAAGAGGCCAAAGTCCCACTATCTCCTTCAAAAACCTCAATAGCCTAACTACCTTCCACTAGGCCCCATCCCTAAAGGTTCCACCATCTCTCAACACCTGATGTTGTAATGGACTGAGATCTTTGGAGGTACTGGAATGAGGCAAATGTGTTTTGCAAATAGACATAAATTTGGGTAGTCTAGAAGACAGGCATTAGCAGGTTGAATAGTAGCCTCCAAAAAGGTACATCCAAGAAATAACCCCTAGACCTGAGAAATGACTTTAGTTGGATAAAAGGTCTTTGTAAATGCCATTAAGTTTAGGATTTTGACATGAGATTCTGCTGGATTCAGGGATGGCCTTAAACACAATAGCAAATATCCTTGTAAGTGAAAGGAAGATGAAAGATTTAGAGATAGAAACACATAGGAGAAGGTGATTGGAGTGATGAGTGTACAAGTCAACATACACTGAGGATTGCCAGCAGCCATCAGAACCATGGAGCAGGTTCTCCCTCAGAGCCTCCAGAAGGAACTGACCATACTGACACTTGGACTGAACTTTTAGACCCAGATCTCTGAGACAATAAATTCTTACTGCTTCAAATTTGCTGCCACACCATAGGAAACAAATACAGATTCTGTTAGCAGGAGGTGGGGAGCTGTTGTAACAGCAGTGTAGAAGTGGCTTTGGCATTGGGAATGAGTAGAGGTTGGAAGAATTTTTGAGGTGTTTGATAGACAAGGCTAGAGTGCTCTGAAGAGACTGTTGGTAGAAATATATTTATTAAAGGAGATGGTGAAGGCAGCTGAAAAGAAAGAGTGTGATAGAGAATGCTTCTGTCATGTTAGAGAACACATATACTACCGCGAACAGAGTGTTGATAGACATGTGAATGTTAAGAATGGTTCTCATGAGAGCTCAAAAGGAAGCGGGTAGTATGTTATTATAAGCTGAAAGAAGGTCTACCCTTGTTATAAAGTGGTAGAAAACATCATTGAATTGTATTCTACTGTTACAGTAAGTCGAACCTGTAAGTAA